GATTGTAAGTTTATTTCTCTTATATGTACGTGTATTGAAAGTCCTTTCTTTTCTATTATCTTGAATGGTAACTGTCATGGTTTCTTTAAATCTTCCCACGGTTTGAGGCAAGGAGACCCTATATCTCCGGCGATCTTCATTCTTGCGGTGGATTATTTATCTAGAGGGATTAATGATTTGTTTATTAAATTTCCTAATATTTATTATAGAACCATTGGTGGCATCAAGATTTCTCACTTATGCTTTGCTGATGATTTTATTATTTTTATGAATGCTTCTAAGAATGGTATTTCTAAAGTTTTGAGGCTGTTTAATCATTTTGAAGCGGTCAGCGGTCTTGTTTTTAATAAAGGTAAGAGCGGGTTTGTTATTTCTAAGAACGTCTCACAGAATAGGATTTTGGGTATCAAGGAGGTTACCGGTTATTCTCAAACTAGTTTGCCGCTTAAATATTTAGGGATTCCTTTATTTAAAGATAGGAAGAAGTCTTTTCTTTTTTATGATTTAATTTCTAAGGTTCATAATAGATTGGCTTCTTGGGAATCTAAATTCTTGAGCTATGGCGGTAGGCTTGTTCTTATTAAAAGTGTGTTGGCTTCTATACTGGTTTATTCTTTTCAAGTGTTGTTCCCTACTAAGTCGGTTTGCATGAGGATTGATAGGATTTTAAACAAATTTTTCTGGAGAGGTTCTTCTAACACTTCTAAAATCCATTGGTCGACTTGGTCCAAGTGTTGTGGTACTTATCAGGAAGGGGATCTTGGTTGCAAGTCTATGCTTGATATGGCTACTGCTTTCTCTTTAAAATTATGGTATAATTTAAGAGCTAATAGTTCGTTATGGGCTAATTTTATGATTTCTAAGTACTGTGGGGATTCTCATCCCTCCACGTGTTTTTATTCTAAAGGTAATTCTCTTGTTTGGCATCGGATGCTTAAAGTTAAGTGGATTATTGAGCCTAAGCTTGCTTGGGGTCTAGGGGAAGGTAACATTTTCTTTTGGCAAGATAGGTGGATTAATGGCTTTTCTATAGATGATCTCCTTTCATCTAATACGTTGAGCTCGATTAAAGTTAATTTTTTCTTTTTTGGTAATGGTTGGGATGTGGATAAGCTTTCTAATGTTATTCCGGATTACATTATCTCTTTGATTACCAATATTTCTATTAATCGTTGTGCTAAAGATGCTTTGCTTTGTAAATTTACTAAAGATGGTCTTTTCTCTACCAAACAAGCTTGGCATGTGTTTCGTAATATTAAATTGTCTTCTAAGTCTTTTAAAATGATGTGGCATAAGAGTATTCCGACCACGGTATCTGTCTTTATTTGGAGAGTTCTTAAGCATTTTGTTCCTACTGATGATATGCTGAGGAAAAAAGGTTTATTTATTACTTCTAAATGTCAATGTTGTGTTAACTTAGAGACGATTCATCATGTGTTTGTTTCTTCTCCTATTGCGGTTAAGGTTTGGAATTACTTTGGGGAGATTTTTCATGTTAATGGTGGTGGCCCTGTATGTTCTGTATTTTCCTTGCTGGAGGTTTGGATGGTGAGAGTGAAAGGGCATATCCGTAATGTTATTCCCCTTCTTATCATTTGGTTTATTTGGTTAGCTCGTAATGATTCTCGGTTTAATAATATTGTGATGAATCATCTTTCTATTATTTCGAGAATTAAGGATAAAATTTTTGCTCTTTATTCGGCTAACCTTTTATCCTTTAAAAGTTTTGGTAACAATACTTCTTCTGTTGAGTTTTTTGGGATTACTGGTAATGGTGCTCCGGTTAATAGGTTCACTTCTTGGTCTCCTCCTAATGCTAATTGTTTTAAGCTGAATATTAATTCTGTGTTGGTTGAGACCAAGTGGTGCAGTGGTGGTTTAATCAGGAATTCTGAAGGGGTGTTCATTGTTGGCTTTGCTGGGTTGTCTGGGGCTGCTGACTATCTGGAAAGTTTATTGTTGGCTGTGCTTTACGGGCTTTCTCTCTGTTTTAGCCTGGAAGTTTACAATGTGGTTGTTGAGAGTAATATTAGCATTGATCAAACGGTTTTGCTGGGTGTGGATGGTACTACTTGTGGGCATGCTTTATTTTATATTCGTAGAAAGGTTATGGTATTAACTAATTCTTTGGAATGTTCTTATAATGTGGTTAAGAATGAAATTAATGCTGCTTGCAGGAACAATCTTCCTCCTGGGCTCGAACTCCGAAGCTGCCTCGATCGACGGGAAATCGCCTTGGAACGGCTTCTCGTTCGGGTTCGCCGGATTTCCTGCCGGCGGCGGCTTTGACCGGTCGGGATCGACGTGGGGAAGGGAGAGGAAACCTAGGGGAGCTCTCACACCAAATATCTCCGGCTGAGAGCGTCTAGGTCGGGAGCAAAAAGCCAAAAGTCCTTCTAAACCTAATTCTCTCCTTATTTAAACTCCTAAACGACCAAGGGACGGCTAGGATCTAATCTAGATGAATTTAGGAGGGAAAATAAGTTTCAAACCACGGGCCCTTCAATTCCAAAACGTTTGGAGGCTTTAAATCCCCTTAATGACCTCTTAATTCCAATTAAATAGGAGATTTTGACCCAATTAAGACTCGATTTGACCAGGTCGCCTGGTGTGCAGGTTTTTGGAGCATCGCGCTCGTTTTGTGGCAGAGTTCGTGTCCTGATTGGTAGATTAAGCTGTCTGTGTTTTTCTCTTCCCTTGCTCTTATTTTTTGGGTTATTAGAATGTTTTTAGTGATCATTGTATTTTGTGTAGCAGGGAATTCGGGCTCTTAGGTTTTCTTTCCTTTTTTGATTGTAGCTCTTTGAGCGGTAGCGGGCTAGAATTCCCTTTAAGGACTTCTGTAATTTTTACCCTTATTATCGCGTAAGCCCGTCGGTGGGTTTTAACCAAAAAAAAAAAAAGTCATTGCATAAGGCAGCGGCAACAATTCTATAAAATAATTACTAATCACAAGACCAACATTTCGCCGAGAATTTTTAAGGCAAAACCAACAAAAGTAACTCTTTAACCCTCCTAACTACAACAAAAGAATACAACATAAGAGAATGAGAACTTTAGAAGTATCTTTACATACTACAATCTACTCAAAGCTTTACTACTTTAAAGTAAGCTGCTTATGTCAATGGAGATAAGTTAGATAATCAAACAAGTATAATGTTGCAACTCACAAGCATCAAAGAGGGGTTGCCTCGGTTTTGAAGCTTTCATTATCCTTAAGAAGTCTACATGCTAGGTTATTAGAGAGAACATCAGCTATTTTCTATGACCTTCAACAATAATATCCATCAAGACGGAGTGCTCGTCTCTCAGGAAAATCTAAATGCAAATTTTGTATTAGATATGATACTACCAATAGAATTTGCCCTAAATGAAGATTTTATGCCCTAAAATTACCACACCTTATTTTTCAAGGAATAATGATTCACAGAATCCTGATAGCATAATGTTAATGGTATTATTCTCCTATTACCAACTATATAATTAAGATATTTGAGGAGTAGGAAGCCTGAGGTGATGAATGAAGTTTATTGTAATCAACAAAAAAAAAATATAACTATTTTGGCAAACAATTTTAAGAAATATAATTCGGACAAAAAATATAAAATTAATTACCTAAATTTGAAGCCGAAATAGTACAGATTCGCTGAAGCAAAAAAATAGAGATCCAGAATTGAAATCCAAATCACGAAAGCGCTAAAGTGAAAACATGCCACAGTCATCTTATCATTTATATATATAAGGGATAAAGAGAACATGTGACAGTCATCTTACGGGAAACGAATGGTCGGAGGCTGAAACGTTTCAACAATTGAATTCATCTTCATGCATCTAAATCACCAAAATAAAACTTTGAAGAATTCAAGGAGATGGAATTAATTGAAGAAAAGATGCTTAAACATTTAAGAAGTTAAAGAAATATAGGCAAAGAAATCTACCGAAGAACATGACGGCGAGCAGAGGCAGCTAGAACGTTTAAGAAGTTGAAACACTAAAATAAAAATACAGGTGCTTAATTGCGGGGAAGAACAAACTTGAAAGAAGTTTAAGAGTCCAAAAATTTTGGAGAGAAACATACCTCCGCTAATGGAGTCAGCTTGAGAAAGCCGAAGAGTATGGACGACGGCGCGAAGACGAAGAGGCGAAGGCAATATTAGGATAGGTTTAGACTTGCTCGAAACGGAATTAATAAAATACTATCTTATATAGCTTTGAATTAATAAAACATCCAAAAGAATTAAAAAATTAAACTTAGGGAATCTCGCGGCACTGTATAACATGCCAAAAATGTAAAATTAATAGAATGAGCTTTAATGGTAAAACGTACAGAAAATTTATGGTAAACCGTGCAGAAAATTAATTTAGAATGATCTTTATATAAAAAGAGTTATTTATTGATTTATTAATTATAAAAACACAGAAATGGAACCAAAAAAATAGCCTAATCTCGCAATCAGCACACGTACGTACCCTGCACAAAACGAGCGCACAGCTCCAAAAACCTGCAAAACAGGTAAACAAAGGTACTCGAGAAGAGAATAAGCTACCAAAAAGGAAGAAAAAGAAAAACAGCAAAATAAACAGAATTAAAGGAGAAACTCCCAGAGAACCCAGGCAACCAGCCTCAGCCATCACAACCAAGAGGAAAGCAAAAAGGCTCAAAACAAACCTCCTCATAAAGACAGCCAACAACACCCAGAACAAAAAAACCCCCACCCTAAGCAGCCAAAACAAAACGCTAAAACCGAACTCCAGCAACCACAGAAAACAGCCACAACAACAAGCAAGAGAAAAGAACCCCAGAGAACCAACAAAACACCCACATCACAACCAGACCAGAAACCAACCTCCAGCACCCCACCACCAACGGACCCAGGAACAAACAACAACCACCAAGAGGAGGAGACAACAACCACCACCAACAGCAGCAAAGACACCCACAGAAAAAACAAAAACAGAGGCAAAACAACTAACCTCCCAAAACATAAGGAACCTTACGCTTATCCAAGAAAAAAAAGGCCTTGAATATTCGCAGGTAAAAGATCAAAGTTGAGATCAACAACAGCATTAAAACTGCTACCAAAGAGCGATAACGCTCTGGCAACAGAGTTAACCTCCACATTGATAACGTTAAAAGAGCAATTCAAGACCTCCCTCAAACCCATATTATGTCTACGCAGGTAAAAACTCGGATGCCCACAGCTGGTACCATCATGAACTAAAAACATGGTAGGGTCAACAAGAAAATTGCTTTCCACCATCACGTTATACAAATCCAAATTAATGCAAACAGAAAGCCCATGATTGACAGCAACCAAGAACCCTCTCAGCTCATCAAGAGCCTTAGAATCCCCAGCAAAACCAGCAATATAATTCCCAACCGAATCCCTGATAACGCCACCAATACACCACTTGTCACCATATAAATCCAAATGAATATTAATCTTAAAACATAGGGGATTAGGAGCAGCCCAGTTAGACCACCTGGAACCCGAAGAATGCAAGGAACCCAAATTATAAATACCAAACTCTTCAGCAGTAGAGAAGACATTAGAAAAATTCTTATAAGTAATAAGGTTAGCTGAAAAAAGAGCAAAGACTTTCTCCTTAATACGATTAATAATAGCAAGATGATTCATCCGAATGTTATTAAAACGGGAATCATTTCTAGCCAGCCAAATGAACCAAAAAATAAGCATGGGAATAACATTACGGATATGGCCTGACATACTACTCTTATTAAATGCAATTAAAATTTAAAAC